AAGTATTCTCTCGAAGTAATTTCCTATGGAATTTCCCATAAAATTCTTGATTTCACATAATCATAAGTCCAGTTATAGACATCTTAGATAGTTTCGTAATTTGGTCTAAAAAGGTTCATTTCTATAAGTGGGGGTCGATAGACTTCCCAACTGTTTCTTGAATTGAAAGTTCTAAAAGTTTTTGAAGCATTTAGAAAATTCACGTTTCTAAGCCTTAATTTTTTTGTCTGAGCTGCAAAGTTTGTTTGACTTCTGTATGTTCCGAGTGTTTTTGAAAATCTCTGAATGCTCAACAAGGTTATTCGGTAAGTAGGAGGAGGTTGGTTTTAGCAGGGTGGTGCACGGCGCAGTGGATGGATCGATGTCCAGGGTGGTAGGTCTATAGAAGGGCAGGGTGGGGTGACGATGGCCGGTGCTGGAGCAATGCTATGTAACCAGAGGAGCTTGAGACTATTGAAACTTGCTGAGGGTGGAAAGCATAACTACCTTGCCCAACGTAGTTGTAGCCGGGGCAGTGTCCCTGTAACTTGGGGGCTGTGCAGTTAAGGAAGGTGTCGAGGGAAGAAGACACTTCCTATCCGTCAGAACAAGCTTGGTCGGTACTGGGTAGTTGGTGTTGCCCTGTTACTCTAGCAAAGGGGGGTATGAGATCTGGTGCGTTCTGGTACGAGGACTGACGTCTGGGTATTAATCTTTCCTTTGTGTTGTGCGGAAGGAGCTGGATGGTGGGTGATATTCTAGGTTGTCTAAATTTCTCTTGACCCTGGGACCTCTAGTAACTTGTCTGACGTGGCTTGAGGCTGATATACTCAGTGATTTGCGGTTGTTCGAAGCCAGAACGACGCTGGCTGGTGTTGGGGTGTTGCCCTGTAACCTACTGTTGCAGGAGCGTGAGGCCTGGTAGAGAGATCTGGGGGTGCTTTGGGGTGGGCATTCCACGGAACAATCAAAGGTTGTTGTCGGGATGACGCTGGTCGGAGCTGGGGTGAGTCGTGTTACCCTGTAACCCAGCAGTGCGGGGGTGTGAGACTTGGAAGAGCTCGGCAGGGAGTAAGACAGTGTTGGAAATTTTGGAGGTTTGTTAGGGGTTTCGAGGGGATTTGAGTATTTTTAGAAGAATCTGTGCGGTTTATTCCGTTACTTTTCGAATTTATCGAATTACTATTTTTTTTTCAGATGGCTTTTCTAGTTAAGAAGAGGTGAGTGGGGGGGATAGAAGGTGGTATATTAAGCATCCTACTAGTGAGGGGGCTAACTGGTAAGATGGAAATAGAGTATAGCAACAGTGGGGATGGCGACTCTGCTGTAGTAAGTCTTGCCGGAGAGAGGAGAAGGTGGTCTGATGGGGGGTTCTGAGTCGTTTAAATTTCATGGAAGTGAGTTCTCTTATTAGTCCTATTTTTTTCTTAGCCAAGCCGGGTAATGGCCCCAGATCTCAAACTTTTAAATTTCATGTTAATTCTCATGTTGGACGCTGGGCCCGGTTCCCAGCACGTGTTGCTCCCCACAAATAGATTTGGAGCCTTGTTCCCATTAAAAAAAAAAAAAAAAAAAAAAAAAAAAAAAAAAAAGGTGAAATTTGAGAGAAGAATGTAGCTTTCTTACAAAAAAAAAAAAGAAAAAACCCTAATATTTTACTCGTCTACTTCTAGTAGAATTTGAACAGAGGTCTGTATTTTTTTTTTTTTTAAGGGATAATTTGCAAAATACCCCTATAAGTTGAGATATATACCAAAATGCCTCTAAAAGATCTGGGTGGAGTGGAATACCCCTTTGACACAAAAAATGCTTTGCGAAATGCGCCTCACGTCGGTTGGACCTATCATCTTTGCAAAATACCCCTACCGGGTACTGTCGATGTTTGCAAAATGTCCCAGTATGTGCCAACTTTTCCCAGGCCCTTGGTATTTTCGTTTTAACCCTAGTGGCCCAGGTCATCTTTGCGTTTTGCCCCCTC